CTAGACTCACATCCCCATCCTCAACCAGGGTTTCCTGGCATCATCTCCCAAGTAAACAAATATTTGTACTTGAATCCTTATCTCAGAGTCTTCTTCTGGAGAACTCAAACTAAGAAGAAGACCCTAATTTTTCTCCATTAATCAAATATAATTATCATTGCCAAACAGAACTCCTGATAACCATTAACTTCACTGAGCTGCTAGGATCCCAGTTAAGAGCCAAGGAATGTGGATGTCTGAGTCTTTGGGCCACTTTCCTGGAGGTAAATGCACTGATTCCATAGGTTCTCCTGCTTCTCAATTCAAACACTACTACATGCTGAGACTGCTCTATCCTCTCCCCCGTAACCAAGGATGTCTGATTGTCAAGTTGCAACATGTACCTGTGACCGTTCTAAATGCATAATTTATACACAAAACCTGAAGACAATCAAAATGTCCAGTGGAAGCATCACAAACAAAACAAACAACAAAACTAAAAACCTTCTATCTCCAAGCCCAAGATTTGTCTTTCCTTTTCACATGGCTAAATTTTATTTTAGCTTCAATCGATCAGATAAAAAAAGCAATTATTAGAAGCACCAAATTGAGCCTTTTAGACCTACCATAAAGATATAATCTGGAAAGAAAAAAAAAGAACATCTGACTGCTTCTGTTTATTTTGAAACCAAGTTTTCGGTCCCAGCTCCAATGCATGCTTCCAGACCTCTGTGGTATGTGGAGTATATCATGTTATTTAATCATTTATATTTTTTTCAAATCCTCATTAAAATAGTACTGCAATGCCCTGGCACATACCATTTGTTCACCATGCATCAGGGACACTGTGGAACTTATATTCTATAATGGAAGGTTCATTCATTTGATACTCAACAGTTATTGAACAGGTAATGTGTGCCAGGCATCATGCTGGACATACTCAAAAAATGGTTTCAAACTGTCATCACCTTATTTAAAACCATACCAGCCTCCTGTCTCCACTACTGGCACTCCCAAGCCTACATATACTATTATACTTTTTTCCTGTTTTTCTACTATTTCCTTTTAACATTTTAGTTTTTACATTTATTATTTACTTTCTGTCTCTCTATGCTAGAACGTAAGGCCAAGGAGGGAAGGGATTTGGGGCTTTTTTATTACTAACATATCCCTAGCATTCATCACAATGTTTGCCTAATCAATATGTATTACCTGAAGGAATAGGTGAGCAATTTATAGTTTAATGGAGAAGCTAGATCACTCGTATTTTGTACATACTGTGTTCAAATGCTGAATCTTAGCCTTGGAACAAAAAAATATACCTACATACTTGTAAAAATATAAAATAAGTACATGTTCACGATGCAGGGCTTGTTTCCATTACAGAAGTCCCACAAAGAAGAAATGGTTTGGGCAGTGTTATTTCTAATGGCTGTTAAACTCATGAGACACCATCTCATAAAGAATTAGTTTTCATTCCATAATTAACTGTACTTTTCTGCTTAAAATAAACACCACAAAGGATTTTGGTGGACAGCTATTTATTAGAGCCAAGTGTTATTGAAGCAATTAAAATACTGCAACATCACTATCTCAAAAACAATAAAGACACATTGGCTCTATGGTGATAATGATTTAATGGAACTCTTTGCCTAAAATATAATGATTTTACTATGGCTTAGAAAAAATGAATGTTTTTGAGGAAATTGTCACTAATTTGTCTCTTCCATTTACAAACCTCTTTAGAAATGGAAATGAATCTGATTTATTTCAATAATGTTCTATTATGTTTAATTCCACTTAAATGGCTCAAGTCCCCAGAACTGGGCTTGAAAAGTGTGCTTTCTAACAAGGCAGTATTTTGTAAAGCCGACCACTCGAGGTAGGCAGAAAGCACACTTGTTTTCCTCCCCTCCTTTGCTAAGAGTCCAAAGGGCACAGAGGCCCCTCCAGGGTACTCACTCAAGGTTTTGCAGATGTCACTGACAGCTTTAAAAACCACGGCAGAGAAACTGACTCGCAGTCTCACCGTCTTCACATTTGGTAGGCGCAGGCGAAGCATTTTATGCTGAGGGGTGAAGAGCAGCTTTGCATCTGCTTGGACTCCACATTTGTCCAGAGTCCAGTGCGTTTTCAGAAGCCAGCAATGCTTTTGTTCCCACCAAAGGGCAAAGTCTGACCAGTCTTGGGCGATGTCTGCAAAAAACGAAAAAAACAATGAGGTGCAAGGAGAGGGAGCGCTCCAGGGAATTCCACTGTGTGCAAAAACTGAAACAAACACGGGCTCTTCAGTGCCCCTCCTTTAGAACCCGAGGTGCAACAATTCTTGGCTTCACAACCCAAGGTGCAACAATTCTTGGCTTCCCTTCAAAGTATCTAAGGTGGGGCAGGTGGAAAACAAACTGGACCTTACCATTGCTGGAATTTAAATATTATGGAAGGGACAAAAACAAACACATTTTGTTTATGATAAAATGCTAAAGTTCTTATTTCTCTATTAGAAATGTATCCTTTCACCACTGGATCAAGTGGGAATATCACTAGCTCCCGATCCGAGTTCACACAGTAGTACTATAAAGCTGACTGTTGACTCTTTGCAGTAACCTCCAACTCTCCTATCAGTGCCGGCATATTCCAAGTTTCCCAAGTGTCTACATTGAAATCAGAGCTGAATATTTTCTTCATCAACATGAAACTTCCTTCTCCTTCAGTGTTGGCACCAAAGTTGAATCTTTTCCTTTCGTTAATGTTGGAGTCAATAGTCAATCTTATATCTTGCTAAATTAAGAGCCACCAGAATTTTATTTACTTTTTAAAAAAAGATTGTTTCTCTCTTTCGCTCTCTTTTTAAGTTGGAAAACCGTTCTCACAATGCTGTTAGTAGAAAGAGAAACGCTGTAACTATTTTGGAAAGTCAATTAATTCAGCAATTCCTCTCAGAGCTATATATACTCACTATATATACTCACTAAAAGTCATGTACTATAGCAGCCTTATCTTTAATAGCCCCCAAACGGAAATAACTCAAATGTTTATCAACAGGTAAATGGATAAACTGTGGCATAATCATACAATGGAATATTACACAGCAAGGAGGAGAAATGAATCAAAACTGTATGCAACAATATGGATAAATGTCACAGACATAATGTTGAGTGACAGAAAGCAGATAAGAGTATATCCTGTATAATTCCACTTTCACGTAGTTCCAAAACAAGTAAAATTATTCCTGTGGTGTTAAATTTAGGACAGTGGTTACCCTTGGTAGGGCAGTGACCTGGAGGGGTCAGGTGTGGGACTTGGGTTGCGGAACAAGTAATGTTCTATTTCTTGAACCACCTGGGTGGCGGTTACATGACTTCAAATGTTCACTGAATTGTACAGTTATGATAAGTGTACTTTTCTGTATCTATATTATACTTCAATTAAGACTTGCTTAAAAAAAGCTTTATCTAGTGTAAATGAAAAGTCAACATCCATGGCCTTAGAAGATAAAAATAAATACAAAAAAAATAGAACATTATTAAATTCTAGGTTGATCATGTTGACTCCTGATGTGAAGACTCTGACCCTAAAGACTTCTCTTTGTTTAAACAGGGAGAGTAGCAAATGGTGGGTAAGTGACAAAAGACACATCAACACCAAGCTGACTTTATCACTGAGCAATCAAATATTAACAGAGAATTGACAAAGTAGTCTAAAATGACCCTAGATGTCACCAGTAGAATGGGCCCCATCCCTGTGGAAATACAGTATTATACCTACTGAGGAGCTTTTGCTTGTCACGACAGACTCAAATTTTTACAAAGGTGGTCAGGTTCAGTTTGAGGCTCCTGCAGACCCCCCTGTTTCTCTTTGACCTGTGGGGAGGGGGCTTACTCTCTGGCCCCATTACAAGATGGATGATCAGAAAAACTTAGATGATCAGACAACCTAGATCAGCCATTGAGTGGTGATGAAACAGGTTTTCAAATACAGAGAAACCATAAAGAAACAGTAACTTACTGATCTGTTCTACTAACTTGAGCATCACTCCTCCAATATGCAGGTCTCCAGACACCCTCAGTGTGATGTCTTTCTGCTCCTCTTCATTTGGATGGTCAACTCGGACAACGAGCTCCCAAGAAGCAGATGCAAAGTCACTGGATGAGAGCATTGTGGCAAATGAAGGTGTCTGCTGCATAAAGAGGCAGACATAGATCAGAACACAAGAAGGAATCTGGAGCTTGCCAGCAGACCCTGCAGAACAAAACCTTTTTTTTTTTTAAATACTAGCCTCCTCTTGAAAAAAATCTGCAGGGCTCCCAGTGTCCCAGATATTAAATTCAGCATCTTAATTCTAGAGACAAAAAATCTCAAGCTTTCAAAATTTATATACTTTATCTTTTCACTCCCCCAAGACTACTTGGTTTTTTATTTTCTTTGCCAGCCCAGTGCATCAATTTTCATTTTCCCTCTCTACTGATTTTCTTGACCGTGTCTGAACTATTCTAGCAATAGGCAACAAATAACAGCAATCCTTCATATCTCTTTAAAAAAAACAACTTTATTGAAGCATAATTTGCATAAATAAAACACAGACTTTAAGTGTCCCTTTGGATACATTTTGTTGTATGCAAATTATACTTAGATAAAGTTGATTTTAAAAAAGGATGTCATTAAAATCTCTATCGGTAATATATATACATATGTATTATTATATTCCTTCTATAAATATTAATGACATCTTCTGGTATGAAAAAAATAAAGCTATAACAAAATAATTTCTATTTTAGTTATATAATATGAAGTCTTATGTTAAATGCATAAGATAAGGTCATTCATAATTATTGTCATGTTACCATTTTATATCCTATAAAAGTTGATGAGTAAGAGCATCGATTAAGTTTTGGGACACATCTTTGGCAAAAGATTTAAAACAGGAGTGTCAGATACACAAAGCTCAGTTTTCAAACTACAGACAAGAGTTTTCCCCGCCTTGGAGGGACTAAACTAGAATGAAAGAAGCTAAGCAGTATCAAATTGGAAATGTTTCGGCAGGTAATAGGAACGCTAGAATCCAAAACTGGCAGAACTTAAAATGTCAGCTCTCTTATCTTTAATCAGAAGACAAATGATACTACCCTATCTTAACTATTTTAAGATTTAAAAGTAAAAATCAGTCATTTAAGTGATAACAAATCTTTTTCACTTTACTAGGTAAAGACAGTTTATGAGAAATCCACGTTTTCATAAAGCCTACTTTTACGAAACATCAGTGTACTCAAATTCCTAAGAAAAGGCTGACTTGGCAAAGTGCACACGAGTCCCCCATGGATCTTATTAGCACGCAGGTCCTAGTCAGCGGATCCAGGTGGAGGTGGACACCCTGCATTCATAACAGGCTCCTGGTGATGCTGGTCTGTAGCTCACACTTCTGAGTGAAAAATTAGCTCCAGGGCTCAGTTCCTCCCTTTCACCCATCCAAATCAAGATTAAGCCAGTGACTATGGTGACATCTGAGGAACACTATTTCTAATAACAAGCAATAATTAAACCACCAGTGTCATACCAGTTTTGTGTTCATCTGAAACTGTTTACATGTATAAGTAAGCTTCAGAGAATCTTAAAATACATGAAATAAATAAATACTGCACATCTGAACAGGCATAGGACAGACTTTGTTTGAATCAATTCAAAAGTTCAGAAGTAGCTCTTGATATTTTTATGACCAGAAAGACCTCAGTGATGTAATGCTTGTACCCTGCGATGCACACAGGTGCACCTAGAGACCTCGTGTATGGGCAGTGCCAAGCAATGATGACCCTGGGCCTGACTACTCGCCTCGCTGTCCTCACCAGCCTCAGCAATCATTTATTATGAAACTACCGTGTGATGTACTCCGTGTTAACTGCTGTCCTTGTGTTATCTCCATCCTTTCAGCAATCCCATTTAGAAATGAGGAAATGCAGGCTCAGAGAGGCTAGGTAAATTGTCTGAAGTCACACAGCAAGTTAGATAGTGGAGCCCAGATGGAAATCCAGATCTTTCTAACTCCAAACTCTTAACCCCCACACTGGGACACATCATTAATAATGTTGTAATGCCAATATAAAGTAAAACTCATAAAACCACATGAGCTAGACTCTCAGTACCTTTCCTAAGCATTTCTACTAACATAATCCTTCCCAGTGAGGATACAATAAAGATATGACCTTCACAGACAAACTCATAACATGGCATTGAACTGTTTGACCTTAAGATCTTAACAATATCTAAAATGCTATGATTTGTGATTTAAAATGTTTTGTACATAAGGTGAGTCCTTAGCGCTTATTTCAGGAGCAATCCGGCATAAGGTCTTTTCTTAACATGAGCAATCAAAACACTTCTCATCTAGGCAACAGATGGTGGTGATTCCCTTATAACTAAATCCAGGTTAAAATTAGACAATCTGGTTTCCCCACATTCCTCTCCTATCTTTTTGTGCCTTCATTTTTGAGTGAACCTCTCATCTGCCGCAAGTTGTTACTTGCTGAGCAGAGCAGCAAACTTCAGCCGGGAAAGCGCATCTCAGAGACCAACAAGAAGCAAAGGGCACCGGCAGACCTGCCTTCCCTGGGTGAAGCTCAGCTGCCCACTTTCTCCTATCCTTTATGAATACGCAAGAATTAAAGCCAGAGAAACAGACGGCGAGACAGAGACACACATGGTGAGCAAGACGAGAGGAAGGCAGGCAGAAAAGAAGGAAGGAAGGAAGGAAGGGAGGGAGGGAGGAAGGGAAAATAGTTGCAGATACTTTTTCTGGATGAGAGTGTGTCCAAAGGCCTGCCTTTTGCCAGCTCTACGAGGTCCAGGGGCCCCGGGAAATATGGTGGATGAGTGGAAACCTGCCCCTTAGCTCCACGAAAACAGCACCCGTAGCTGGACAGTTTATTTTGCGCGGCGAGACGCGCAGGGCCAGAGAAGGTGGTGGCACGCCGAAGACATTATTTTTAATTCAACAGCCATTGAAGTGCAAGAGGCTACAGAAAGGAAGGGGGCAGGGGTCTCTGGAATCAGCGGTGCCCACCACAGCCTCCCTTCTCCGCCGGTTTGCCACCCCCGTAGCCCTATCCCCGAGCACCCACCTCCTTTCCCGGAGCCTGCGGCGTGCAGCCAAGCAGACCCGCACCGGGAGGGCTGCGCCCCTAAAGACCAAGGCAGAGGCCACCCAGGCTGAGTCTGGGCGGGAGCAGGGGCTCTCACAGTGGCGGCAGCTGCTCCGCTGGGCTGCGGCGGGAGAGGGCTGCTGGCAGACGCCCGGGCGAGGGAGCCCAGGTATCTCCCGCCCAGGCGCGGCACCCGCCCCCAACGCCACGCGGTGAGCGGTGTGCGGCGTCCCCGCCCTGCGTGGCCCCCAGAGGCACGGCCAAGGCCAGCGCGGCACGGCAGGCGAGGGCACGCCCAGCTCCAGGCCTGCTGGGTCTCGCTCCCGAGAGAGGAGACGCGCTCCGCAGCCTTTTTAAGGGCAAAGGATGGTCGACGGGCTGCTACGTGGCTGGAGGGCTGGGGGAACCTGGGACGCACGCTCACCTCCAGCGCCCTTCTTGCGATCTCTCATTTCGCCCCTATCCCACACTCCTTAGACCTTTTCCAGTTGTCCCGGTTCCCTGAGGCCCGCTGGAGACGAGCCCAAGTGATTAAAGTGTTGCTACTTCCCCTGCCCTCCAGGTACACCCATCACTTACACTCCGGGGTGCGTCCAGGCCCGGAGACTCCCGGCTCCAGGCTAAAACTACCGCTTCCGTTTTAAAGAGCCTGGAAGACCTTTGATAGCCAGGTGGAAGAAACAAAAGCGGTTCATCCCTGAGTAAGAGGGTGATGTAAACCCCAGAGGAAGGCGAGGCGCCCAAAATGCGCACAATGGAAGACCCCGGGGCAACCCAAGGGCACACACCCCATGCGGAAGTCTGGCATGGCTCACCTCAGATTCACCACCCAGCCCTGCAGGTCACCTTCCTGTCGGATTCACTTCCAAAGAAAGCCGAACGGTGAGAGATCTTGGGCAGTTTACACAACCTCCCCAAGCCTCTTTTGTTCCTATTACGCACATTTGTTGGGTGTTTATTATGTGCCAGGTCTTGAGCTGAGCTGAGTGGATACAGTGGTTATAAAACAGACATGGAAATTATAGTTTCCTCATTTGTTGGATGGGTAGAGGAATGGAATACCTGCCACCAATCCATGACAGAATTTCATCCAGTCTGTGGAGGAATTTCATTCAGTATAATACAAGTTTTACCTATTTACATCAGATACATAAAGCCCGTGATAATTTAAATACGAATTTAAAATGTTAGGTAATTTAGAATTGAAATTCTTGTTTTTCGCTTTAACATTACCATATTCAACCATTATTATAATTTGGAAAGTATTTTAAAAGGTCAGTGGAACAATTGCCAACAAATCTGGAATTCTGTAATTAAAACAAAATAATAAAAAACTTTAAACTGAATTTCTTACTTTGGTAGAGTTTGTCAACTATGGGAATGGACTCAACTGCCATCTGGACCCACTTCCCTACCTGCCCAACATGGAGTGAACAAATATGCCCTTATCTTGGGCAGAAAGTGTCTAACGACTTGGTTTCTGGATACTGCTGAGGGCTGATTAGAACAATACACGTTCTTCAAGATCTTGAGTGTGATCTTGAAGTGGGAATGGCTTTATTTATGCCAAACTGGTTTCTCATTTCAGTTGAAAACATCTGGGTTGTGCTAAAGAATCTAACTGGCTTTAAGCTTTTGCTTGGCCTAGGTTATTTTTTAAGCTTTTAATTGAAATATTATATGTTTATATTTATGTGCAAGAGCACCAATCATGAATACGCAGCTGATGAATTTTCACATACTGAACACATCTGTGTAATAAGCATCCAGATCAAGAAACAGGACATTACCAGTCCCTATGCGTCCCCTAGTTTCCCCTACCAGTTACTATCGCCCCCACCAAAAGTAACCACTAGCCTGACTTCTAACTCCTTGAAAGGGTTTTGCTGAACTTTGTGTCTTATATAAAATGCAATTGGATGAAATATACTATATCGCGTCTGGCTTCTTTTGTTCAACATGATGTTTTTAAGTTTCATCTATTTTGTGTGTCCCAGGCTTTTTTGTTTGTTTTACTTACTACCTGGTTACCATTCTTGTG